GAACAGGGGTGAAATACCCCCGTTTGTGCAGCTGCTCTGTGGACTGAACCAACGCTCAGCGGAGCCGGTCTCTTATGCAAGTTATCAGGTTTCATATCCGCAGTGACCAAATTTTGTTAAAAATGTGACAGCTGCTCCTGTCATTTTCTTTCCATGTAATTGTAACCGTAACTTCAAACTGCACAGGCACAGTCTGCCTTTCTGCAATGGTAAAGGGAGGTCTGCATAAAGCCAAGGACTTACCAGAAGTTGCTAGTTTGGGCACCAAGGGATCAGGTCCACTTGTCACATCTGTAGATTGCATAAAAGAGTTTGCAAACTACAGCAAGTAATTGATGTGCTAGGTGAGCACATCAGAGCAAAGCAGGATTTTGTTGGGTATAATTGCAATAAACCAGGAAATTGTTTGATGGCACTTCAAGGTTTAACTCCCAAGATGCCTTGAGCAATAGTGAGGATTTGATCAATGTAACTATAGAGTACCAGGATGTCTCATCCATGTTCCCAGGAACTGTACAATAAATCCTTTCATCAGAGCCTCTAACATGCCCTGTGAGAGCATTTTATTCACCCTTAAGGAATCACTTCATCTAATCCATCTGAATGACAACATTTCGCACTGGTGTAAATAGACTATCTGTATTGATGTCAACAGACTGACTCAGAGCTCAGCATCCTTGCAACTGGAGGAGAGAATCTGAATTATTTTCAGCCTAATGGTTCCCCAGTTGATTTATACTCCTTATGTTAACCAGAACTGCAGAAACTGGCACAAAGGTGAAATGAGTGCCCTGTATAACCCAGTTTGCTACCCCTGGCAGAAGTAACTGCTTCATATCTTAGAGTGGGTCCAACTTGCTTCATAATTGCTGATCGGACGAGGCCACACATTATGCATCACAACAGTGTTTTGTGGAGCATTATGGTACTGTTTCCATCCCTATTACTGCTTCAGCAAGTATATATCCATCCTAAGGCCCAGCAGCAAGAGGCTGGCTGTCCCTTCCTCAGCGGTGGTGGCTGTGTCTCAAGAAAGGAATGTGTCCGTCCACCATGTTCCAGTCACTGTGCCTCTCAGGGTGACTTCAGCAGTGACAGCTTGTTTGCTGTTTTCTCCCACAAACTTTTTCCCCTATTTACCCTATTACCCAAACACTTCAGGCAAAACCAAAACATCTTTGTGCTTTCTTCCATTCTGGAATCTTTTTGTTTGGTTTGTTGGTTGGTTTTTAGGTCTTTGGGGGTTGGGTTTTGGTTGTTTTTTTTTTTCTTTGGTTGATTGCGTTCTTTTAGCAATAAGGCATTGAATACTATATGGCAGAGAGAGATGGGCTTATTTTAAAGTGCCTTAGACAGAAAGATCACAAAGAGTGGCACTTGCCCTTCCTCATACAGTTCAAGCCAGAGCTTGTTTGTGAGCGGTGGCTGGGTCTAATCTCCTATGGCAGTAGCTACACAAGATCTCCCCTTCTCCTCATACCTGTTAAAGCCACAGAGGAAGAAACCTACCTGATCTATACTGTAAAGAAATGGAAGATGTGCAAAAAAGGTGTAAAAAAGTATATAACAGGAATCAATCCACTTCAAAGTGGATATTCCAGAGCAAATGATAATCTTAAATCAGGGTTCAAATGCTTTATTAAAACAGCTTTTCTCCACGGGAAGCAGATATAATGCCCTCTCCTGGTTTGTGGCACCTCTACACTCATATGCAAACCTCATTTCATATTTCTCTTCCTGAAACATTTACCCTTAGCTTGAAGTGTCCTCATTTGAAGGTCCTCTCCTCTGCTTCTTTGTTTGTTTCCTTGTCAACCAGTTACACAGGCAAAGGAACCATTAAGAGATCTACAGAAGACACCTCTGTTAATGAAAAAATCTTGAAATGGCTTAACATCTCAGTAGCTTCCCAGCACAAGGTGCTGCCCATATCCTGACTGGTCTGCCCAGCTGTATCTCCCAGCACAGGAGTTTGTTCCAGCCATGGGAAAGAAGGTGGTTTGAAATGGTGCTGGCATACCCAGAACCACAAGAGCCCAGGTACTTTGTTGTAGCAGCACATCGCACTGCCACTGTGACCCCTTCCCTGAATATTGCTCAAAGCCTCTACACATGTGAGTAAATGCTCCACAAACTCCTCCAACACAGTGCACAATGCAGCTCACAGATGTGGCCTTGAATCATTGGCTTTGCTACTGAACCCTCCCCATGTACCTCCTGCATAATGGAAAACATCAGCTTTCAGGAGAACTCATAGGATGGTCATGTATAGACCCTCAGGGGAACGAGAGTCTGCTCTGCTCCCCAGTGAATGACTCAGACACCCAAATGAGTGGGCTCTGTCTTTCCAGCTTCCACTTTCCCAGTCATGGCCTGTTCTTGTGTTCCTCACTTACATTAAATTCCCACACTGGGCCCTTCTTGTGTAATTCAGACTGAGATTTTCTCCTCTTTCTTTTCCCTCCCTCCCCTCCGCCCCCCGCATCCTCTGTACAACAGAGCTGGCCACACAGCAACAGAGGAAATGAACAACATCTGGTGAGATTGATTCTTCGCTCTTGTAAGCAGTGTAAGCTAACAGCTGTGTCAGGCATTTCATCCAGCTCTGGAATAGAAAAGAAATCAATCACACATTCTCCTTTACCACACCTCCTCATTCTGGCATCTGCACCAGTCCTGCGAGATAATTGCCTGGTTCACTTCCCTGAAAATATACTGGAATCCCACCCTTTGTACAGAGGACACCCCTTGATGCAAATACAATGATTCTTTCAAAATACAGGAAAGTTAAAAAAAAAATAATAAAAGAATTTAATAAAACTATACATGAGCTTTTGTGTGGGTTTTAAAAATGGGGAGGGAAGGGCGTTTACTCATTGAGGTGCCTAATCACTGTTGTATCCAATGGCTCTTGGCAGTACCTAGGCACTTAAAAAAGACACTTTTAGGCATAGACATGAGTTTTTCCATTATGCCCAATGATGCCATAATGGCAGCAACATATCTTGTTGGATTGAAACCTTACTGCTGACTGCTCTGGAAACCAGAGCATAGGGACAGATGAGATCCAAGGCAGTAGCAGCCACAGAAGAGCAGTAGATGTAGTAAGAGAAGGATAATTTTCTTTTATCTTATGGCTCCATCAGCCAGCTTTGGAGCTAAGGATTAATCTCTCCTTTTGAGTGTTCTCACTGACAGTGCCATGGGACTGCCAACTACCTTCAATTCCCTGGGCAGTTTCTGTGATGCAGACATCTGACCACTAAGTACTCATCGAAGATCCACCAACAGTAATAATTACTGTCCCACAACCTCAGCTCTGACCACAGAAAGCACAGCACGGCTCAGGAAGGAGGGTTCAAAGGTAGTTTTTAAGAGTCTGGGACAGCTGAGCGCTGGGCAACTTGCCCTGTTTGTCTCCCAGCTGCTTATGCTAATGGTCTCATAGATAAACCAGCTGCAAAGAGCCAGAAGCAGGGAGCATCTTCATCTGCCCCTTGGGGTGCTGAGTTTGACTCAATTTCAGTGAGATTCTGGCAAAATGGATGGCCACAGCAGTCTAGAAAAAGAAATTTGTTTATCATCAGTCTAGACAGGTATTTGGTCTATAATCATAGACAAAACTTGGGCACAGTCAATCTGCTAGACTGACCACGCAGGCTGCATGCTGGACTTCTCTGCAGAGATTTAAGCAGCCTGAGTTCTTGCTATCCAGCCGCTTTCCTAGGGGCACTTCAGAGTAATGATGTTGCCCACCTCCAGCTCTCCAGAGATGTTTTCTGAGGGACCTATAGGATTAGTTATGCCCACGAGAAACTGAAAAACAAAGGATGATGCTAAGAGGGACAGCAATGGATGATATTGCATTCGGCACACTGTCCTGCAGTTTTGCTAACACCGGAAATGGCTAACTCAAGGAAACATAAAAATAAAAGGAACTCTCTCTTGTCACAGATGTCTCATGGCCACAGTGAATTTTCCAGTGTCTCTTCATTGACTTTCATCCTGCAAATCTTCACAGCCCTGAGCACAAAATCCCCATGAAGTAAAATGCAGGGCATATTGTATCTTCCTCTCTGCCAGCCATGTGCACATAAAATCAAGTTCTCAAATCAGCGAGATTCACCACTGTAGAGTGGAGAATTTGGAAACAACCTAAGAGAAAGTGGGAGACAGCCAATAAAAGACATACGTAATCAAGGGAAGCAAGCTACAGGGCTAGGGGTTTGCTCAGCGTTGAAGATTTTCCAATAAGCAATGTAACAGAACAGATTTATGATTTCACCATAAAGTTGCATGATACCGTTTAATGAATTAAACATTCGCATACAGGTTCAGAGAAAATATTACTGACTGGGAGAGCATAAAAGCATTGGGACATTCTTCACGTTTATTACTCATGAAAAGCTAAAGAAAGCAAGCAATCACAATAGCAGTGAAACATACTTTTCCACCCACATAACATCTGATCAAATATTCACAGATGGAATTTATATGGGGGTTTATGGTAGTTTTTTTAAGATGCAGTTGTAAGTTAGGTTCTGCTAAAATCCAAATCTACACATATATCTTGGGTATTTATAGGAGTCTGATTACCATAATAATTGAGCATTTCACCTCTTTTAATGTATTTATCCTCACACCATCCTCGAAGGATGTGGTACCATTCCCAATGATGAGATAGGAACAAAGGCACTAGAGAGGATGTACACAATAAAGCGCCTTAGCTGCCTTCAGTTTGGATATTGCAATGCCTAGAAATTAGGCATTTGGCTACATCAGAGTGCTTAAAAGAGCAGAGCTAAACAGCTTCCTAACCAGTTAAAAAGAAAGGCTACATGCTTCCATTGACAAAGCAAGGATAATTATCTAATGTAAAATTAAATTCCCCTGGACAGTCACATTTTGGAATACTCTGCCAAAATGAGAGTCCTGCCTTCCAGCAGAAATCCAGTAAAACACAGCTGACGAACACAGAGATCTAAGGACCAGATTGTTTCTTTTTCTTTTTTCTTTTTTTACCACTTTGACACAGTCTTTTCAGATGACAAATATTCAGGTCCTAAATTCTGCCTGAGTAGCCTCTCTGAATTCTGCCTAAGACACTGCAGGTGGGTGAGGAAGGCTGTGATAAACTCGCTGGCTCCCAGGAGCAGCAACAGCCCATCAAGTAGAAGGGAAAATGCTCTGTGATTACAATTATGCTCCAGTGCCTTCGATCCCACACCACCACACTAGTGCCTTCATCCCACCAGCACTCAGCAGTGCAGGACTGGCTCACCTGAGGGACTGAACTCCTCTCAGCCATATACCTGAGTATTTTCCACTCTGATGCTCAACCTGAACAGGTCCCTGACAACATACATTTATAGAAGTTGCAAGATGGATATTTCTGAGGTTACCAAATCGAAGCAAATAAGTTTCCTTTTGCAGGAGACTCTTGCTCTTTGTTTGGACTCATGTCCCTGACATGAAAGCATGTGTGATACGACAGTAAAGCAGGGAAATCTTGCATACTGTAGACTGGTTTTTAGAAGTATAATTAAGCAAATAAATGAGGCTGAATATATGCCCAAGACTCAGGAAGGATCATTCAGTTGGGTTCACACAAAGATGGGTTTCAATTCAGATTCAATGCGCTGGCACATTGCCCAAGGCCTTGTGCCTATGAATTTTGGTCAGAACAACAGAAACTCATGATCTTACAGGGAAATACAGCCTAAAGCATCCAAAAGCAGTAACTGACTCACAGCAACATGGAAACAGGCCAGAACTACATTTGCTTCTGATGTGGTGAGAAATCATTCGAGCCTTAGCATCAGTGTTGTGGTCAGCTTGGAAAATGGGGTAAATTTGACACCACTACTGTGCTGAAAACATTCAAAAGATTTTCCCCACTCTTCTTCCATCCCTACCTCTAAAAATTAGCTCATAACTACTCAGTCTCCAACATTTAAAAAACATATACATGTAACCCAAATCCACTTTGACAGCCAGAGATTTAAGTATATCTCTATAAACAAATAAGGTCCGTCCAGTTCCCAGTTACCAAACGGAAAGGAAGTTATATAGTAAAATCCTCAAAACACACAGGCATCTGGCTTGAGTACTGTATTCATTCCTTCCTCAACACACAAAGGAGTCTTGTTGAATCTCTGGTGGGCCTGTAATACAGAGGGACACATACCAACACACCAGGAGGAAACACAGCATCAGGTTCATAAGGGGCTATGTGCCATCGGCTGGTACTGAACTCAACAAGAGGTGACATCAACCATCTGATACTCATTCCTGCACATTGTGACTTCTGCATGACGCTGCTTCAGAGGCTGCCTGGCCTTTCCGAGCATCATCAGCCCAGCAAAATTGTAGAGCTAGGGCTGTTTATTCAACAGCAATTGGCAGGTTAAACATGGACAGTTAAAGGAGGTGCTTCCCTTGACTGCCCATTCACTAGAGGCAGATGAGCTGCAGTAGATACAGTCAAACTGTATGTGATGCAGTTCCCAAACCATCATCTGCAACCTGAGTGATTACAGAGCAGATGCAAATGGCTGTAGTCCAAAAGTTACTTCACATGCAATTCAGCTTTCCTGCAAAGAAAAGGAGCAACCTCTGGGAGAAGGAAGGAAGGAAATATTGGGGAAGGCAATTATCTCTGCCATCTAGGTTTCATCTTCCTTTCTGCGAACCGACACCCTTAGGAAAAGATCCATTTGGGACTTTGAAACATCCTACCAAAAACATCCTATGTGTTATTTTTTTAACAGCATGTCTCAGTGTGTTATTGGTCATCTTATTTGTTATTTTAATTTGAAAAATTTCATTTGAAATGAGTAAAGAAGGAAAACCTCAGGCTCTTTTTTCTCAGTTCATTGTTTCTAGGCTGAAGTTGCAATGTGTAAAAATCACTTCAGCTGTTTTTTGTCATTACTAGAAATAAAATGACTGAATGACTTACTATCACATGGCATTCAGATTACAAAAGCAGCACTACATAAAAACCAGTGGGGCACATATTAAATGGATTAAAATTGAACTAGATTTCTAATAGTGACTGTATGATGTGGTTACTTGAAATAGCTGAAGATTAGACTCAGTGACCCAGGAGGTCTCTTCCAGACTTATACTCCTAAAAAGCAATTGTTAATAGAGAATCATCTTCAAAGGGAGAGTATTTTCTGTGGGTCTTATAGAGATCTCCTTTTGTCCAATGTTACTCAACATCTTTAGCAAGGATGGTGAAGTTTTTGGAGGACACAAGCATTTGGAGAACAGTGAACAATAATGGGAACGGGTCAGTTGTGCTCACATCTTGGTAAACTGTGTTATTTTGAATGTCATTCTCCAGTGAAACTCACTATTCCTACATCTGAGACAAAGTCACTCTTAGAGCATATCCAGAAGTACGTACTTCTAAAACCCTATTATAATATCCAGTAAAACAGGAGATAAGATGTTTGATTGTACAAACAGCATGCTGTGCAAAGGGAAATGTTAATATTACCTCTGCCTAGAGTGCTGGTGAGTTTATTACTCAAATAACATGTGCACTCCAAGGAGGTAGCTGAAGCACTGGAAAGGGATCAGGAAAAGACTACAGCAATGATTCTATGTCTGGAAAATATGCCTTAAAACAAAAGACTTAAGAAGCTCAGCCTCTTTAACTTCTGTAACAAAAATCTGAGAGGCAATGAAATCACAGACTGTGTTTGGGCAATGGAAAATATTCCTGACAATAAAAAGTTGCTCAGTTTAGCAGACAAAAGACTTGCAGTGTCTGACCAGATAGAATTTGAAATTAAGATTCAGGTGAGATAAAGCACAGATTTTTAATAATGAGTTCAGATATTAACTGAAACAACTTACCAAGGAATATGATAGATCTGTAAATCTCATGAAGTCTGAAAGGCCAGGTATCTTCCATAATACCATGGCGTGGCTGAAAGAAGTATTCATCTCGACACAGGGTTGACACGGGTCCTTGCTGAGAAGAAAGCAGTATGGAAGATCAAAGCCCCTTTATTGATTTTAAAACCTGTGATGAAAGCTAAACTGCACACTTACATGTACCATCATATACAGCCTCTTGGTCATGATGTAGACTCTCTCAGGAATCTCTCCATCCAAAATGCACATTTATTTTGACTTCAGTGAGCCACCTACTAGGCCTTTATTCTTTCTAAACTGTTCCATTCTCTGAGTTCTGTTTTCATACCTTCTTTTAATCCAATGATTCCTCCTTGCCTCCCCATAAAGTTGTCACTTCCTTCAGATGCTCAGACTGATGAAAGAGCCATACTGAAATAAAAACTAAATGAGGTGAAAATATATCTCATAAAAAGAAAAAAAAAACACCCAACATTAGGGAGTTTACAGAGAGATTTCCTACTCCTCTGGCTCAGATAGCCATATTTTATTCCTTCTAGGAAACAGAAAACCCTTAATCCCATAAGAATGCAGCCAGAATCAAAGAGCCAGAGGAGGCGTTAGGTTGCAAAAAGAGGAGGGGGGGAAAGAAAGAAGAATTTTACAGTCAGCCCTTCAACACAACATGAATGAATGGGCCATCACCATAGCTACTGTGTGGAGCACAGGCACGGAGCAGAGAGGACAGGGGAGAAAAATATGATAAACTAGGAATCTACACAAAAAGTCCACAGCCAGATACAGTGGGTTAACACAGTGTAATAGGCTGTTGAGTGCTTAATGAGCCAGATGCCGTTAGGAAAAATGTCTATTAAAGGAAAAGAATGGAGGGAGAAGAAAGGCATGAAATGCTTGTGTTTGGTCATGATTAATTGAAATTGAGAGAACCAGTAAATTTCATGGTTTCTTATCCCCAACATAAGAAACTGATACTTTTTCAGAGGAAAATACATTCTGTCCCCAACCAGCTCTCAGGTTATTGCTCCACTTGACTTGTCTGTTTATTTGCTTGGCTTTTGTCTCTGTGTGTGTGTTTGTTTATGCTTCAGTATTATAAGTTGGTCAGTCATCAAACGAGACCAGCAACAACCCAATATAACATCCCAGACTATGGAAAACAGGTGTCTTGAGAAAGATGCCTACTATAAATGCCACATCCTGTTCTCAGTCTGCTTAAACAGTTACATGGTTTGGTGAGTTATTTAATTTCCATTTTTGATCAGGGTATCTTATGAGTTTGAGAGTTTTGTTCTTATATATTAATTCATGTGAATTAAATAACGTTCTTTAACTTAACACCTCTCTGGTCTTCTCAAGCTAGTAAGAGACATAGAGGTTAAACCTGTATCTGTAATTTAGTGAAACAACACTGCACTAGATGATAGATGCAGCTTTTCCTGGTCATTTTCATATGTTTCTGGAACAAACCCTGACTGAAACTCTAGCACCTTCTGTTCCAGCCAAGTCAGGCACTGTACAACTCAACATCACTAAGAGATTGGGCCTGTATCGTTCCAATTACTTTTCCCTAAAAGGGAGTTCTCATTATTTTTACAATATTTCTTGTCTTCATTGTTGTCAAATTGCTTCTAAGAGATGAACACATGGAATTCATTGAGCATACAATGAAACCCACATTCAATTAGATATTGACTGTCTTGAGGGATAACAGCAATAAAACGTGGCCAAGGGGAAAAACAGTTCATGGATTGTGGTACAGTGACCCAAGAGCTGTGGGCAGAGGAGAATGTTGCATAATCAAAACAAAAATGAGGCGAGCATGGGGAAGGGCATTGTTTTCTCCACGCCCTGCCATCACATTCCACTGTTCCTGGAATCAACCCCGCCACTTGTGAGAAAGCCTCTTTGAAAATCAAACCCCTGCATTGTCAAATCGCCTTCAGCCGTATGGACCACAGATTCACCTGAACAGAGTCTGGCTGTTTCTCTGCCATGAGTACGACATGTTTTCTCACTCTGTTCTTCACATCCACCATACCAGTCAGCGGCCAGCAAAGCAAACTGTCATCTGCTGTGTGGTTCTTTAAGAAACCACATATTTTGCCCATGATACTGACTAACCCTGAGAAGATCACCATACCATAACTTCTAGTACAGCTTTATGTCATCTGCTTTTGGCTGCGTATCTAGTCTGAGCTATATGTCTAGGTTCTATCATCTAGCCAAAGGGGGAGGATTCACCTTAGAGTAACTCATCCAGCCCAACAGAGGTGATCCAGGAAGATGACTGTCTTGCTCCTTTGATGACATATGGGGACCAAATGTGCAGATGGCCATGTTAGGCAGAATGAATTACATCCTTATTTTCTAACTTCAGAGGACAGTTTTCAATGGATGTGACTGTAAGCTTATTGAAATCCACTTCAGTGACTTAATTTGGCTTCAAAACAGAGCAAACGTGAGGTAAGAGCATGTAGAAAGATGCTTATCCTCTGTGAGACCACCAAGAACTGTATTCTTACCTATCTTCTCTGGTTATTGGAGAGGTCTAATGTTACTAGGCTGTTAAATAAGACTCTTCCCTTGAGTGACTGAAATGAAATGGGCTAAATCTTTTCTTTCCTGTCATTCCCTGCAGTTATTTCTTTGCAACACCTGGATCTGCCAGCTGTACAAATTCTGCAGAGTAAATCCTGATCCAAATCCCAGCCCATTGCTTGCTTTTGCAGAGATAGATATATACATTATCCACCAGACGCTGAAATAGCAAAGGCAACCATCAGGAGTGTCACTAAATCTCATATAGCTTCAAATCTATTTCCTTCTTTATTCTCTTCCTCCAACTCAAATTTGATCCTTTCTTCTCTGACACTAAGCTTATGCTTTGTGAAGTTTCCATGTCACACTCCTCCTTGCTTTCTCCTTTACCATGCATATAGGAGCTTACACTAAAGATTTCAATCCTATTGTACTGTGGTCTGAGCCACAACGGCCTTTAGGCATGTTCTGTATAAAATAATCCCATTTCCTAGATTCATTCCCACTTTCAGTATTTCTTCGCAGAGAATCTTTTTTTGGGAAGAGATAAAGAATTTTCCTTTTCTCTTTCCTGGCTTAATATCATGGTTGATAAAACTTAACAATTTCCTCCCTTTCATAACATGCCACATCATATCTGGACCAAAGCAAGCAGTGCCAAGAGGAAAACTCCTCTGAAAACAGGTGAGAATACCCCATACAGTATGTCTGCCATCACTTGTGACTTTAGTAGAATTGTAGAATTATAGGATCATAGAATCATAGAATAGTTAGGGTTGGAATGGCCCTTAAGATCGTCAAGTTCCAACCCCCCTGCCGTGGGCAGGGCATCTCACACTAAACCATATCACCCAAGGCTTTGTCCAACCTGGCCTTGAACACTGCCAGGGATGGAGCATTCACAACCTCCCTGGGCAACCCATTCCAGTGCCTCACCACCCCCACAGGAAAGAATTTCCTCCTTATATCCAATCTAGACTTCCCCTGTTAAAGTTTGAACCCTTTACCCCCTGTCCTATCACTACAGTCCCTAATGAATAGTCCCTCCCCAGCATCCCTGTAGGCCCCCTTCAGATACTGGAAGGCTGCTCTGAGGTCTCCATGCAGCCTTCTCTTCTCCAGGCTGAACAGACACAACTTTCTCACCCTATCTGCATACGGGAGGTGCTCCAGTCCCCTGATCATAGTAACTCAGGAACAGGACTCAGGAACAGGACTACTTCATCCCAAGGATGTTTTGGGGTACTGTTTTTGCCTAGTTTTAGAATGAGAACATTGTCTAATTAAAAGAAATGGTTAAGTTCAGCCCAAAAATGTCTCTGTTCAGAAGTTTGTGTGACCAGACCTGGTCTTTGGGAATTTTGCATACTTCTGCCAGTGCTCCAATGTTCCTCTCCAAAATAAAGGATTCATCTGGAACTGTCATCTACTCAAAAAGAATTTAACTTTCTCTTCATCTTACTTTAACACAGGTTTTACAGGATGGTGATATAATTTTCACTGACACTCTGATCTCATCCATCTCCCCACTGTGCAGTCTCCATGGATCCAAGTCATAAACCTGTAACACTTTGAGGATATTACACTGAAGGAGGTGAGTGAAATCCCCTTCCCTGCTGCAGATTCAGCATTGCAGTCAGCAATGCCTTCCAATACCTTTTCTAAGAAGTAAGCTACCATCTCTCCATCATCACACCCCACAAACCTGGGACATTGCCAAGGATATCTGCAGCCAAAGGAGGGGAACACAGTTTCCTACCACAAGAAACAGGGCTGCCAGTGCAGATGTTTAATGTGTACTCTTCTCTGCAGATCTGTGCTAACTAGGGATGCACAACCCAGTTTACATCAAAGAACTGATGTGAACTTTCATCCACAAATCAAATTACATACTAGTCCAAAAAGCATGGGGAAATGTGGACCAGAAGCACATACCTTGGAATTGGACACAGCTTTGTGTTACTCCAGTGTTAACATTACGCCCTACGCACATCATACTGTACAAGCCATTGAAAGAAATGCCTTAACAATAATGCTAAAACATTACAAAACAAAAGTTTCATGGCAGATATAATTCAACCATGTACTGGAACAGCTTTGCTACACAGCCAGAGATAAAAGACAACACCAGTGGCTTGCTCATATGTGCTAGTTACCAGCAACACCTTCTTCAGCAAGGCTAAGGCACAAACTCCTGTGATGTGCTCCAAAATTCAGCCTCTTCCTCTTTAAAATCAATCATAGAGGTAAGCATTGCTCACACCAACTGCAGCACATATTCCTGTATTTCAATTTAAATTCACTCATTGAGATGCATGACTGCCTTTTTTGCTCCTAGACTGTTTGTAAGTTCATGTGACACCTCTAGCTTATAAGATAACACTTCATAAGCTACTGTGACATTCATCTGTTTGATGAGTTCAAACAACCTCTGTTCATTTATTTATAAAAATCTCACTTTGGGGCTCCAAACAACTGGTCACAGAAATAATTACTCACAAAAAAAGCACATCAAGAAGCCAGGAAGAGCCCAAACTCATTTCTGGTTTAGCAAATCAGTTGGCAGCAGAACTTTATTCTTGTCAGCTGCCCAAACCTGGTGCTCTCACCTTTTCTACACATCCAGAGTCACATGCCATGAGACAAATCAACTTTTCTGAGAATATTAGCCAGAACATTAGATTATATATAGGCATAGTTGACACCAACCCTTGTTGCCCAGCCCTTGAGAACAAGGGAAAAATGTCCTAAATCATTCCATCTAGACTCATTTAAGGCTCATTTATAAGAACCTTTATTGCCCATTGAAATGAATTTTCTGAAGCACATGAAAATCTACATATTAAGATCCGTTGTCTTTTTGGTTTTGAGAAATCCTTTAATTTTTCACTTGTGCAATCTCTTTCTTGCAGAGCACAAAGGGTACGTAGTTCAAATTCCAATGCGTGCTTATGCCGGGGAACCAGCATTACTTACCTTTTCATCCTTTTGTTAACATTGCATCATACATCAAGTTTTAAAGACTGATCCTATCAGTCTTTA